ACAAGAAATGTCCTCATGTTCTTGACATACTTTAATCAACACATTGTCTTGCTATCATGTTTTGAGGAAGTCTAATATCCATCTGTTAAACCAGACTGACTGAGATACAAAGAGCATGGGAGGCAAAGTCACAAGACAAGGCAGGCCAAGTCTGGATACCAGCGAAGACACTGAAAACACTCGCAGTCTCGTCTACACCTTATCTCGGGCTGCTGGGCTGTGTCCAGTCTGGCTAACCATCAAAATAAAGGAAGTGACCTCCCGACCTGGCGAGCATGCAAAAGGGTGATATTGTTTTTATTAGGGCAGTCAATGTGACACCTCCCTTCATTTGTCAGTGTTCCATATCGTCTATGAAAATGCCAGGTCCGATAAGGTTTTCAGAGCCATCCCATTAATCAACAGCATGGTTCTGGAGAGGAAAGGGGACAACAATGGAAAAAGTCGTCAACGTGAATGACAGGGAAGTACCGGGAGCCGTAGTCACCATGAGGGAAGGATACAAGAGTAGATCAGCCTTCTAAAGTTGGTAACAATAGGTACTGTATGAGAAAAACTGTCACAACCTCTCCTTTGCTTTGCAAGTAAACTCAAAACTGTGCTTGACCATCCAAGTTCCATAAAAAAAGCATGTTGGTGATATCAACAATGACAAATAGCTTTACACTCAGTATATGAACATGACATTCAGTTTTACACTGCTTTATTAAACTTCAAATACACTCAAATCATGTTAATGCATGATCATTCAACCGAGTGGCACCGGGTTTAGTTGTCTGATTATGTGGATGCCAGCTTTTCCGCTTGCTGTGCGCGGTTACAGAAGCAGACGTGAGAACCAGGTCTGCCGGTTGACTTTGAAATCGAACCTGCTGGCCACTCCTGAAGAGGGAACGCCTCTGCTTTCTGCAGATCTTCAGGAGCTTCCTCTACTGGGATCCACCGCGTTTTTGTTTCTTCAAAGTCCCACTTCATAAATCACGGGGGAAAAAAAAAGTGTATAGTAAGAATATGAATGATAAGAATAAATATAAGAATAACATTGGACTTTATTAATAACGATACAAACTTTCAAGCAAACAAAAAAAAACAACCAAAAATAAAAAAAAAAAAGAAAAATAAATAAATAAATAAAAACACCTTTAATAAGTAATAATTCATTAAATAAATAAAACGCATTTAATGAATACATTTAATGATTAAATCATTTAATAAATAATTTAAAAATACATTTAATGAATAATTTAATAAACAAAAAAAAAAAAAAAGAAAAATAAATAAATAAATAAAAACACCTTTAATAAGTAATAATTCATTAAATAAATAAAACGCATTTAATGAATACATTTAATGATTAAATCATTTAATAAATAATTTAAAAATACATTTAATGAATAATTTAATAAACAAAAATAAAAATGCATTTAATTAATCATTTTTGTAATAAATAAAATGCCTTTAATAAGTAATAACAAATAATTGTTAAAGTAGTTACATATAATAATAATAATAATAATAATAATAATAATAAGTAATGAAAATGAACATTTTATAGATAAATAAGTAAATATTCTGCTTTTGTGTTACACAGAACAAAGAAACTCGTATGGGTTTGAAACGAGATAAAGTTGTAAACATGATGATTTGGGGTCTGTAAAACTTTGTTCTGGGATAAACTACTCCTTTAAGGCTTAAGTATCTGCACAGGAATGTTTAGTTGCTCATAGGCACAGACACAAAGAACAGGGTTAAGAAAACCCCTCGGCCTGTCCACTGTTCTCCATGCATCAGGCGGGTGACAGACCCGCTCTTAAAATAGCAGAACAGAGGGCCAAATCTCCTGTAGACTGAACAAGCATTTTGTACCACTTCCGATGCAGAAAGGTCCTGCCCTGTTCCTTTATTACAGATCTTTAACAGCAGAACAATTAAGCAACAACAAGAACTTCTGGAACACCAAGCCCAGCTCTCTCCTTCACAACTGCTTACAGTAAATGACACAGTGGAATGAAATTGCAAGAATCTCCCATTTTGATCATAGTTCTACCCCAAAATGCCCAATTATCTCATTCAGATCATTTTTTAAAAATGTTTAATTATTTTGTTCAACTCTCACAGCTAGTCATGAGTCTTTATATAACAAATTATATTACTTATTTTACAATTCCACCTGGTAACTGATGCTAGTCCTCAGAAATGGAACAATTTACCTACAGTAACAGCTATCAGAAATCACACATTTGTCACTGGAAGACTGCTCTTGACATCAAGAAAGATGTCATGGTCTGACTCTGAACTCTTCATCACACACAGTGTCTGAGGAGGTTCACATGCTTAGCTTTTTCCTGTTTAGTGAATAAAACAAAGTTCAATTGTTTTCGTCCAGGGCGATTTGCCTTTGTTTTAGATTAAATGACATCCTCAATCACTTGGCATTCTCAAAAGCCACTTAGAGAGCCAAGAAAGGACTAGACCGCAACACAACAACATTTTCAGCAATACCTACATGTACAATTTATATTATATTATGTTGTATTGAGTGATTAGATTATATAGTCAATTTTCTTTCAGATAAGTGTGCAAAAGCAGTATGTTGAATAAAAGATAAAACCTTTTGAAACACTGTCAAGACACTCAAACATTTATTTTACAAATTTTACATGTGATTTGTTTCAAGTCACCTGTCTTTAAATCTATGCTACCATCTACCCTCAGAAAGCAGTACTGCAGCCACCAATTATTACATTTGATGTTCAATATGAGTTTTTCCATGTATAATTTGAAGTTTGTGTTAAGTTAATTAATGAAAACAAATTATATTCTATAATTTTATATATTATTTAGGATGGATGGATAGATAGATAAAAAAATATATATAACATAAATATATATATTTTATATTTCTAACATTTGTAATATAATCATATAATGAATAATGAATGAAAAATTACTAGAATATAAAATACAAACAATACATTAATATATTTTATCTTGGTTTTATATATTTATTATAATTTTTATGTAATATTTTACTACTATTTTATTCAGTTTATTTATTTTTATCTACTATTTTTATTTTACTTATAACTTTTGTGCATAAACAAATTCAGCTATATGAAATCATGCGTGTAGGTCATTTCATTTCGAGCCGTGTCAAAGCTCTGAAAAGAAAAAAGAAAGGTGTTCTAACCTCTAGTTCAGAGCCGACAGATGACGAATCAGTCGAGGTACCAGAAGAACACTGTTCATCAACCCGTACCACCCTGACAGTCCTCTTTAGAGGAAGATTCTCTGATGAGCCGTCCCGTGAGATGGTCACCTCCTTGAGACAAACCTGGAAGAGACACCAGTCAAATACACCATGACTTTTGATAGATAATCATTACCATAACTTATGGTCTGCTCAGTACACCATAAAACGCCTTAAAAAGTGCAAACCTTCCTCATTGGCTGTATGTTGACATCCATGTAGAGTCCCATGTCAGTCCCTTTGGGAGAAATGCCTCTTGCTGAGAGGTGCTTCTTCCTGTAGCATTCAACATTGTTGTTGCACAGCTGACCCGTGACAGAAGAGTCACCTAGTAAAGATTCAGTATCTGAGTCTAAAGACCGGACAGAAGGGCGTTTATGGTTGGATCTGTAACAGATGAGGACCACAATCTGAACATCAATGTTAAAGAGCGGACTGAGAACACTGGTAAATTAAATGCAGTCTTTTCAAACTTAGTCATTTATAGTCTGTGTCAAAGGATACAAAAAGATCCAGAACTGCACAGCTGATAGCAGAGAGTATCCATGGCATTGCTTTGACAAAAGCTCTTAGCTGTGTGTCATAGAAAAGAATGGCAGATGCATACAGAGATCCAGCTACAGAACACAGAACTCTAGAGCACACCTGCACAGCAGAATTCTGCTCTCCTCTATTCTGCAAAAGACAGAAAAGACACATTGGGACAGTTTAATCAGCTGTTTGGACTCTCGTTCTGACGGCACCCATTCGCTGAAGAGGATCTAATGGTGATCAACTGATGTAATGCTAAATCTGTATTGATGAAGAAACAAACTCATCTACATCTTGGATGGCTTGGAGAACATTTTCAGCAAATTTTCCTTTTTATATGAACTATTCCTTTAAGCCAAACAAAAGGACACGATAATGTGTTGGAATGAAGAGCTCAAAATAATTATTTAGATTGCAAAAGTGCTCACAAATGCTACTTACAGCTTTCAGGATGAAGGGAAACTTAGCAGTCCAGCTGATTGCGAAGGACAGAAGACCCAGCATGTAACCAAGGTTCTCAGTATAGTCCTGTTCCCAAAAGACACAAGCAAAGTCACACTTGCTTAAAGCAGACCTATCAGTATTTTGCATATGTTATAAGTTTACATATAGTATGAGATATGGCACGGCTCTATATACTCCTGCCTCTTCTGACTAGGAGTTTACTTACATTGAGGAATATTCCGAGTGGTCTCCTCATGGTTGGAGATACCTTTACTGGACTTGAATGGACTGGTAAACCCAGGTAAACGTTGCCGCCCATTACAAACAGCAGACACACAACTAGAAAATTCTGCCTCCTTCTCCTGGACACCATTCTAATTTTCTTTCCTTAAGAACATGATTGATAAGTCATTTATTGTGATGCCTGATGATTGACAGCACAATTATACCAATGAATGAGATATATATATATATATATATATATATAGAGAGAGAGAGAGAGAGAGAGAGAGAGAGAATAATCAAATCCTTACCCATTTTTGACTTGTACCATAAATAAATGGAGAAAGATATTGACAGGAAATGGACAACATCCAAAATTGCCATATATGAAGCCATAGAAATCTGCAACAGATGGACAGAACATGTGACTTTCATTTAATGTACTATTTATAAGAACGTATGTAACACCCCATCTAGAATGTTAGCATCACTTTCTTGTGGTATGGTCAATTTTGTGGGTAATAATGGAATTGTTTATAGTTTAACTATTATTATCACAGAATTCGTGAAAAATGTAATTTATTTATAAACTTGTTTTTTTTTTTTACATTAAATGGAGTATTTGAACATTTTCCCACTCCTTTGCAGACTGCGAGTTATATGATACATCTGAATGTTTCTTTTTGTCATTAAAAACAAAACTTTTGAGATTTGACTGCTTTTGATATTTTGATAAGTGCATTAAAGCTGATACATTTAATTTAAAAAAATCTTCATCCATGTCTTCATTCTTCAATTAGGTCATATGAAGGTCATTTTTTGTAATTTTATTTTATTTAGATCACTGGTCGGACATGTACATCAACACATGTATCAAGGTCACCAAATCCAACAAGGCAGCATTAGAGATCCGTTACCACCCTCTATTTTACACAAAAGGCTTTAACTTTAGCCCAAAACACCCTGATGATGTCTAAACTTCTTACTTTATATCCTTGAAAGCATATTACTCTAATGTCACCAGCTGCTGATATAAAGCAGGATCATGCCATTGAACAGTACCTCTTCCGGCCGATGGGGGTCATTGTCAATCGGTAGATTCAACAAACCGTCATTGATTCAAGGAGTTCGTGAGGTAATAATAAAACTCTTCAGCGAAATTAAGAACTTTTAACAGATTTCTCACCTGAAAATCAAACTGTTTGGAAAGTAAAGCGCCCACTGCGCTGCACAAGTTCCCCACGAAACAATACAAAGCGCAGACTGCTTCATCAGCCCAACTCTTGCTTCGCGTTTTGCATCTGTGATAAAGAAGACTGAGAGGGAGCGACAAATGATGAGTTTATCCTTTTACAAACTTCGGCTAATTTTAGTCACACCACACTCACAGTGAACAGGAAACCAGTAACATCAAAGCAGACAAGACGTAAAGAGCAGCCGAGATGCAAATATGTTCTTCATATGTCGAACGACAACTTTTAACAAACTCTGGGCTCCATCGGTAGACAATGTCTAAGACTGTCATTTTATCCATTTGTTTCACTTAAGCTATCACCCATTGAGGAAGAAGAAACACTGAGAAAATCAAAATGTTTGTTTCTAACTTCTATCATTAGCTGCCAGCTGTATGGATGTAGTGAACCGCCCGTCAATCACCTGTATTTTTTTAGGTAACGCCCACGTGCTTATCTCATACATATTAATTACGTACTCTGACGTCCATCCAGTTGATTGGCTGTAAGGCTGCGGTTAGAAAGTGGACTCTAGCCAGTCCTGTACTCGCAAATCTATTTTATTATATACGGTACGTGCGTGTGTGTGTGAAATGCATGTAGTTTATGACCTTTTGTCATTGAGAAACTGCATGGAATATTTCCAAATATGTGATAGTAGTAAGAAACTTGCAAGAGTTAATGTCCAATCTCAGCATCAAAAATACACACGTATACACACTAGATTAACTTATTTTTTTCTCCATTAAAAAGGTAATTTACAAACCTTTGGCTATTACTACCAGACATTTCCACACAATCTCTTATTTAAATAGCATCAGAGCTTGAAGAAAAAACGCAGTACTAATGATACATTTGACACAAATTAGATACAAATTAGAAACTGTCACTAAACTTATAGGATCATTGTCAGCTTTGTTAGACATCCATATATTCTACTAAATGGAATCCACAATTTAGGTAAAGAATAAAATTGCTTTCAATGACATTTTAAGAGGGCTTCTTTTATTAGCGGTTGCCTGTGTTCATTAATCTCTTCATCCCATACACTGATAAAATACAGAGTGATAGTTTGTTATTATTATAAGTGATATTTTAAACAAAGAGGAATTTCCAGCAGCACTAATCAATCACATCCAGGTATGAGCCATGGTGAAATTATGGTCTTTGCTATAAAGAGTGTATCCAATCCAAACATCTTAGAATATGGATTATGCATCCAGATGTTTGTTGAGTCTTCTCACTTTCTCCTTCTTGTTCCGGTTACCATGTTTTTTCCAAGGTTTCCCAGTCTGTTGTTCTGTGTTTGCGTTTAAAGGCCCAACAGGACCACTTCCGGGCTTATAACCCATCACCATCTGCACACCCTTGGTCAGCGCTTGCACATTTTCCTATGAAAAATGACAGATTATGAGCACTGTGAGTGATTTAAACTTAAAAACAAAAAAATCAATTATTTCATTTTCAGTAGCCATGTAATGTACAGGCAGGCACTGCCTCAAACCCATTCAAGGAATGAATCTCACCTGATGAAAGAAATGTTTATCCACGGTGTTCTCTATGCGTCTGACTTTTTCTGGTTTGTCAGCATGGCTAGCAATCTGTTCGAATCCTCCACTCTGCCTGGCAAACCTGGCATGCTGAGGCTGAAAGTCTTGAGGGTTGATGTGAGGTGGAGGGTGGCAGTAAAGGAGTTTACCCTGCAGAAAATCAGATAGGAACAGGTTAGCATCTCTCATTCTCCATGATTATAACTATAAAATTCATGAGAAGGCACTTACACTGACATAGTCTTTCAAAATATAACGGGCTGATCTTGATTGGTCTGGCTGGCCATGTGCTGTCATGAAGCCTCTCATATCTGCATGAAGAGAATACATTATGATTGGTCTGTTGTAGCAGGGTTGGTTAAGTGTGGTGTGAAATGTCTTAATGTGTCCATTGTGCAAAGAAAACTGACATCCATATGCCATGAGCAGCTCCTCGTAAGTCGGGGGTCGATCGGGGTCCTCGTCCTCCCTCGGTCTGATGATGTTGATACCGTAGGTCCCCTCCAGCACAGTTTGAGGGATAGTCTGACATACGTATTTAGGTTAAGGGCAACATTTTGCAGTTCAAGCTCTGCCACTTTGTCAGATAATTTAGGACACTAGGTCTTATAACATACATTGCTATTCAAAAGTTTGGGGTGAATAAGATCTTGTTAAAGAAATTAATACTTTTACTGAGCAAGAACAATAAAGACATTTATAATGTTACAAAAGATTTATATTACAAATAAATGCTGTTCTCCCCCCCCTATTCATTAAATAATCTTTTTTTTAAATGTTATCGTGGTTCCCACAAAAATATTAAGCAGCACAACTGTTACTCACTTCAGATTGTAAACAGTAAACTGTAGCTTTGATCAAATAAATACAGTCTTGGTAAGCATAACAGACTTCTTTCAAAAACATTAAAAAACCCAACCCCAAACTCAAACGGTAGTGTGTTAAAAATGCAATTATCATGATCCTTGTTGTTTAAAAAGGTTATCAAAGAGATGGCTGGAACGTGATCTCTCATCTGATCGATGGGTAGGATCCCGCTGCAGATCATCTCGGCTTTGGTGGACACAAAGGAAGGCATGACCAGTCCGGGACAATCACACAGGCAGAGACCAGGATCAACAAACGGTACGTGCGTGTGTGTGTGAAATGCATGTAGTTTATGACCTTTTGTCATTGAGAAACTGCATGGAATATTTCCAAATATGTGATAGTAGTAAGAAACTTGCAAGAGTTAATGTCCAATCTCAGCATCAAAAATACACACGTATACACACTAGATTAACTTATTTTTTTCTCCATTAAAAAGGTAATTTACAAACCTTTGGCTATTACTACCAGACATTTCCACACAATCTCTTATTTAAATAGCATCAGAGCTTGAAGAAAAAACGCAGTACTAATGATACATTTGACACAAATTAGATACAAATTAGAAACTGTCACTAAACTTATAGGATCATTGTCAGCTTTGTTAGACATCCATATATTCTACTAAATGGAATCCACAATTTAGGTAAAGAATAAAATTGCTTTCAATGACATTTTAAGAGGGCTTCTTTTATTAGCGGTTGCCTGTGTTCATTAATCTCTTCATCCCATACACTGATAAAATACAGAGTGATAGTTTGTTATTATTATAAGTGATATTTTAAACAAAGAGGAATTTCCAGCAGCACTAATCAATCACATCCAGGTATGAGCCATGGTGAAATTATGGTCTTTGCTATAAAGAGTGTATCCAATCCAAACATCTTAGAATATGGATTATGCATCCAGATGTTTGTTGAGTCTTCTCACTTTCTCCTTCTTGTTCCGGTTACCATGTTTTTTCCAAGGTTTCCCAGTCTGTTGTTCTGTGTTTGCGTTTAAAGGCCCAACAGGACCACTTCCGGGCTTATAACCCATCACCATCTGCACACCCTTGGTCAGCGCTTGCACATTTTCCTATGAAAAATGACAGATTATGAGCACTGTGAGTGATTTAAACTTAAAAACAAAAAAATCAATTATTTCATTTTCAGTAGCCATGTAATGTACAGGCAGGCACTGCCTCAAACCCATTCAAGGAATGAATCTCACCTGATGAAAGAAATGTTTATCCACGGTGTTCTCTATGCGTCTGACTTTTTCTGGTTTGTCAGCATGGCTAGCAATCTGTTCGAATCCTCCACTCTGCCTGGCAAACCTGGCATGCTGAGGCTGAAAGTCTTGAGGGTTGATGTGAGGTGGAGGGTGGCAGTAAAGGAGTTTACCCTGCAGAAAATCAGATAGGAACAGGTTAGCATCTCTCATTCTCCATGATTATAACTATAAAATTCATGAGAAGGCACTTACACTGACATAGTCTTTCAAAATATAACGGGCTGATCTTGATTGGTCTGGCTGGCCATGTGCTGTCATGAAGCCTCTCATATCTGCATGAAGAGAATACATTATGATTGGTCTGTTGTAGCAGGGTTGGTTAAGTGTGGTGTGAAATGTCTTAATGTGTCCATTGTGCAAAGAAAACTGACATCCATATGCCATGAGCAGCTCCTCGTAAGTCGGGGGTCGATCGGGGTCCTCGTCCTCCCTCGGTCTGATGATGTTGATACCGTAGGTCCCCTCCAGCACAGTTTGAGGGATAGTCTGACATACGTATTTAGGTTAAGGGCAACATTTTGCAGTTCAAGCTCTGCCACTTTGTCAGATAATTTAGGACACTAGGTCTTATAACATACATTGCTATTCAAAAGTTTGGGGTGAATAAGATCTTGTTAAAGAAATTAATACTTTTACTGAGCAAGAACAATAAAGACATTTATAATGTTACAAAAGATTTATATTACAAATAAATGCTGTTCTCCCCCCCCTATTCATTAAATAATCTTTTTTTTAAATGTTATCGTGGTTCCCACAAAAATATTAAGCAGCACAACTGTTACTCACTTCAGATTGTAAACAGTAAACTGTAGCTTTGATCAAATAAATACAGTCTTGGTAAGCATAACAGACTTCTTTCAAAAACATTAAAAAACCCAACCCCAAACTCAAACGGTAGTGTGTTAAAAATGCAATTATCATGATCCTTGTTGTTTAAAAAGGTTATCAAAGAGATGGCTGGAACGTGATCTCTCATCTGATCGATGGGTAGGATCCCGCTGCAGATCATCTCGGCTTTGGTGGACACAAAGGAAGGCATGACCAGTCCGGGACAATCACACAGGCAGAGACCAGGATCAACAAACAGAGTCTGAAACATGTGACACGCCAACAGTCAATAAAACTACAATAATAAATGCAGACCTTTTAATTAGGACATGCTCATAGACTGCTAAATTGCTAGTTGCTAAATTCTTGATTCTCATGGCTTGACAGCTATTGGTATACAGCTAGATAATACATACTGGTAAAAAATGTATAGCCTGAATGCACTGAAAGTCGCTTTGGATAAAAGCGTCTGCTAAATGCATAAATTATAAATTATTATAAATTATAATGTATAGGGAATGAGTGATTTAAGGGCAAAAATGTGGAAAATGTCAAGAATTAATTTTGTGGATTGTTCATTAATTAGATCGAAAAATACTCACCTGAAAATGCTTTGTGTGTCCAGGTGTAGCTGAAACTGAGACTTTCTTATTCCTCAGGATGGTGTTGATGGTAGAGCTTTTTCCAACGTTAGGATATCCCACCTTAAAGAGAATTTAGAGTTGAAATATGAACATGAGTTCTGAAGGACAGTGTCAATGTTTGGTATAAGGTAGAAATGTAATTTAAACTCACCAATCCAACTGTGATTTGTCCATCTTTGCACGCCAGCCCAGAATGCACAGACTTAAATATTTCCAGCAGCTCATTTCTGCGTAACAAACGGCTCGAGTTGTAGAAAGATGAAACCGCTGTGGATTCTGGTTTCTCCTCAGCATGATCTTCGTCTCCTGATTCCTCAGAGCATGTTTGCCATTCTGTCTCATCAACACAGACTCTTGCTTCTTCACTTTCCTCTTCTTCATCCTGCACACTCTCATCTTTCTCTTCATTTGTTGAAGTGCTATGCTCCTCATGAAGATCTGTTGCTTCCTGTTCTGTATCACTCTGATCCTCTTGGTCCATCAGCTCTTCTCCCTTAACCACCAAACATGGAAAAGAGACAGAATAATGAACACAGTTCTCTTAAAAGAAATAATGCTTTTGAAAATAACCAATCGATTCAAAACAAAGTATTTGTGTCATTTATACTTAAAAAAAAAATGTTCATGGAAACCTAGAAAGAATTCTCTTTCAAGGATGCATGTATTTGATGCATACATACAATAAAAACAGTGACATTATGAAATATTATTACAATTTAAAATAATTGTTTTTATTTTAATATAGATAAAAAAGTAATGTATTCCTGTGATGCAAAGCAGAATTGTCAGCATCATTACTCCAGTCTTCAGGGTCACATGATCCTTCAGAAATCATTCTAATATGCTGATTTGGTGCTCAAGAAACATTTCTTTTTATCAGTATTATTATAATCAATGTTAAAACAGTTGTGCTGCTTAATATTTTTGTGAAAAATGTGGATTCTTCGATAAATACAAGGTTAAAAAAAACACATTTTTGTTCTACATTTTTAGTTATATTACCTGAAGCTTGCAAACCCCAAATTCAATCCTACTATCAACAACTAAAATAACTTTTAGTGCATCCATATATTACCTTCTCCTCTGCCTCGAGTCGTTGTGCCTCAGCTAAAGCGGACCAGAACACTGCTCTGATCCCCTCTTTCTGGAAGTATCGGGCCCAAGCTCGCCTCTGTTCTCTAGTGAGCAGGTCGGCTTTGTTCAGCAGAAGCATGTTTACTTTGTGAACTGAGACCTCTTTTACATATTTTTCCTGGTGGAGGCAGAAATTAAAGCATGATTAAGTAAGAAAGAAAGAAAGAAAGAAAAGAGGTGTGAGTGTAACTGTCTTTCTTACAAGATCTGGACAGCGGAAGAGAAGCGGTTTTCTGGCATCAACGATTTGAACCACAACATCACTGAGGATAAAGCAAAAAATTGTATTCTAAGAAACCATTTTGATTCTTACATCAAAGTGTGATTAGATAGTGAAAAGCACAAATTAAATGTCCATTGTATTACAAATGCTAACAAAAGCTTACCTCCTCTCAATAACTCTCCAGAGTTGCCTCCAGAAATCAAGATTCCTCTCAAAAGGGGTAAGAATCAACTTCTGTTCCTCTTCCAGCCTATTACAGAAAGTGCATTTGTTCACAAACACTTATCCTGTTGGAGAATTGGATTTGCTAGTCTTTGGACTAAATTGATCAAACATTCACCGAGCCAGTTCTCTTCTCCATGTAAGAAAACTGTCCCTCTCGTTTTGCTGCAGAACCTCAGGGCTTGTGCTCTCGTCCCAAGGAGGCCTGTAGTGACAAAGCAAAAAGCTGAATAAATTAGCTTTTGCGTAATTGTGTATCTACAACAGATCAATGGAACGTTCATACAGGTTTATAGAAATCACATTTAATTACACAACAACATACCTTCGGGGAATTCGTAAGAACTGTTTGTTGA